AACTTGGAAGATTGGCAAGAGTGATCGTCTCACTTGGGTAAAAGGAGTGCACATTTCAGGACAGGAAGCATCCCAGTAAACCATCAGCAAGCCCCAACTCAGCAAACTAGCAGGAGATCCTGAGCCCCAGTGTGGTGGAGGCAAATGGCAATACCAGGACCCCCTTGCACACCTTAGCCATGGGAACTGGTGGACTCTAGCTCCATGAATCACCACATGCTTCAGCACAGCCCAGGGCAAATGGCATCCTTCAGCATGATGAGAAAGTAGGCCAGACTTCCACATGCTTCAGTGTAGCCTTAGGGAAACACAGAAACAACACACCTGGCCTCAGCACATGCCAGACACTACCACTAGGACCCTAGCTCAGCACCAGGTAGGCTGCCAGACCCCTATGGCCTCCAGCAGCACCAGGTACCCCATACCCCACCCTCTCAGCATAGCACCATACATGAGGGTACCCTAGAGGTCTTAGGGCAACATCAGTGCAACAGCAGGTAAACAGCCAGGGCCTACAGCCACTGGCACAAGAAGCCTGAGACAGTGCCCTTTCCACCCCAAGAGCAGAATTTTAAAAAAAAGAGTACAATTGGCCAAATGGAAAAGAAAGTACAAAAGCTAATTGAGGAAAACAACAACTTAAAAGCTAGAATTGGGCAAATGGAGGCTAATCGAGACATCATGAATCAATCAAATGAATTCAAAAGAATGAAAAAATGGAATAAAATGTAAAATATCTCATGGGAAAAACAACTGACCTGGAAAATAGATCCTATTGAGAGACAATGTCAGTCTCTTTGGGCTACCTGAAAGCCATAATCAAAAGGAGGACCTGGACAGCATCTTTCAAGAAATTATCAAGGAAAACTGCCCTGATATCTTGGAACCAGAGGGCAAAATAAGCATCGAAAGAATCCAGTGATCTTCTCAGGAAAGAGATCCCAAAATAAAAACTGCAAGGAACATTATAGCCACATTTCAGAACTATCAGATAGGTCAAGGAAAAATACTACAAGCGGCCAGAAAGATACAATTCAAATGTTGGGGAGTCACAATCAGGATTACACAGGACTTGGCAGCTGTTACATTAAGGGATCTGAGGTCATGGAACATGATATTCTGGAAGGCAAAGGAGCTAGGACTATAACCAAAAATCACTTACCTGGCAAAATTAAGCATAATACATCAAGGGAAAAAATGGTCATTCACTGAAATAGAAGGATTTCCAGACTTTATACAGAGAAGACCAGAACTAAACCAAAAATTTGACCTTCAATATCAAGACCCAGGAGAAGCATAAACAGGTAAAAAGGGAAAAGAAAACATAAGGGATTCAATAGACCTAAACTAATTACATCCCTACAAAGGAAGATGATACTTTTAATTCCTAAAAATCGTATAACTAATAGTTCAGCTGGAAGGAGTATACCTAGACAGAGAGTATGGGTATAAGGTGAAATTGAGGGAATGACATAAAAAATAATTAAAGGATGAGAAAGAGGAGTATACTGGGTGCAGAAAGAAGAGAGAGGTAGAATGGGGTAAATTATTTCACATGAAGAGGCGCAAAAGACCTATTACAGTGAAGGGGAAGATGGAAGGGTGGCGATGGGCATCTCTTGAACCTTACTCTCATCAGTATTGGCTCAAAGAGAGAATCATACACAAAATCAGTTTAATTAGAAATCTATCTTACCCAACAGGGAAGTAGGAGGGGAGGAGATAAAAGCGGGGAACGAGGACTGACAGTAGGTAGGACAGATTGGGGGAGGTGGTAGACACAAGTAAGACACTGGAGTGGAGGGAAAGGATGAAAGGAGAAAGAGGACAGACAGGAGAAAGAATAAGACGGAGGGAAATATACAAGTAGTAATCATAACTGTGAATGTGAATGAAACAAACTCTACCATAAAATGGAAGTAGATTGTAGAGTGGATCAAAAACCAGAATCCTACAACATATTGTTTGTAAGAAACACACTTGAAGTAGAAAGACACACTCTGAGTAAAGCTAAGGGGCTGGAGCAGAATCTATTATGCTTCAGTTGAAGTGAAAAAAAAAAAAAAGAAGAAAGGGTTGTAATCCTGATCTCAAACAAAGTAAAAGCAAAAATAGACCTAATTAAAAGAAATAAGGAAGGAAACTATATATTGCTAAAAGGTACCATAGATAATGAAACAATAGCAACACTAAACATATATGCACAAGTCATATAGCATCCAAATTCTCAAAGGAGAAGTTAAGTGAATTATAGAAATAAATAGACAGCAAAACTATACTGGTGTGGGACCTCTACTGGTCTCTCCAAGAACTTGAAAAATCCCACCAAAAATAAAGAAAGAAACTAAGAAAGTGAATAGAATATTTAAAAAGTTAGATATGACAGACCCAATATGGTATGATTTAGACATAAAGGGTGACAGCATAAGCAAATTATAAAAGCAAGAAATAGTCTACTTGTCAGATCTATAGGGAAGGGAAGAATTTATGACCAAACAACAGATTGCAAAATAATTTTGATTATATTAAAAAGCTTTTGTACAAACAAAGACAATGCAACCAAGATTAGAAGGAAAGCAGAAAGATTGGAAACAATCTTTACATCAAGCGTCTCTGATAAAGGCCTCATTTCTCAAATAAATAGTAATTAAAAGAATATGCTCAAAGTGTATTATCCTTTCAAATGGGGTTTGGGCTGGTTTGGGCCATCTGGCCATTGGGTTTATGGGCAATACAGTTTGATGACAAAACAGAGATTCTACCACTGTCCTTTTCACTTTGGACTTCTGGGCTTGTGTATGGCTATGAGATGGGCTATTATTCATCACAGAGATTAAAGAAATATCTTTCATTACTCACAGTACATTAGGTCGCATGTAACTCTTAGACTGCAATTCTTTCTTAATATTTTCTCTGTAGAAAAAGTAAGGTACCCCCATCATCACTCTCATCTCTAGCCAACATGCAGATATTCATTTTCTAGGAATGAAAACCTCCCCACTAAGCAATAGCTGCCAGGGACAAAATAAGCTCATTAAGAGTTTCTTCTTTCGGGGTGGAGCCAAGGTGGCAGAGGGAAAGCAGTGACTGTCTTGAGCTCTCTTCCAAAGCCCTCCAAATACCTAAAAAAAATGGCTCTAAACAAACTCTAAAGCAGCAGAACCCACAAAAAGACAGAGTGAAACAAATTTCCAGCCAAAGACAGCCTGGATGGTTGATTGGGAAGGTATGATCCGGTTGGGGAGAGGTTGATCGGGTGGGGAGAGGAGCGTAATTCGGCGTGGGCGCGCAGGCCGCAGCTACCCTGGAGCAGGCCTCAGAGGACTGAACCGCTGGCAGCCGTGGCAGTTTCCAGACTTCTCAACCCCTGAACGTCAAAGACAACTTACAAGGTCAGTGGGAAAAGTCTGTGACTGTGGTGAGAGAGGAGCTAGGTCTCAGCCGCAAGTCTCGAGCGCGGCCTGGGGCCGCGGCTTTTTCCTGAGCTTCCGGTCCACAGGCTGAGGGGGAATCGAGTGGCTGATCAGAAGGGGATTGCAGGGATCTCTTTACCAGTGCTGAGGCAGGAATCTCTTGCTTTGCCAGTGCTTGGATCTGGGTCACAGTTCTGAGGGGTGGTCCTGGCGCGAGGAGCAGCACTGGTGTGGTGGAACTTGTTGTGGTGGTGGAGAGGAAACACTACGCTCCTTTTCATACCACCTTGGAAGAACTGAAAATTTACAGGTCCCTAGAAGTATCTCTAAAAACAGCTGTACAAACCCCCGAAGCTTGGGACAGTACATTCTCCACATTGGAAGCAGATTTTTGCCTTAACAAAGAGTTTAAAACTCAAGTAATTGGCCGGGATCATGAGTAAGCAGCGCAAAAAGAGTCAGACTATATTGTCTTACTCTGATGACAAAGAAGATCAAAACATACAACCAGAAGAAGACAACAAAGTCAAAGCTCCTACATCCAAAGCCTCCAAGAAAAATATGAATCAGTCCCTGGCCTTGGAAGAGCTCAAAAGGGATTCTGAGAAGCAAGTAAGAGAAGTAGAGGAAAAACTGAGAGTGATGCAAGAAAATCATGAAAAACAAGTCAACAGCTTGCTAAAGGACACCCAAAAAAATACTAAAGAAAATAACACCTTGAAAAATAGCCTAACCCAAATGGTAAAAGAGGTCCAAAAAGCCAATGAGGAGAAGAATGCCCTAAAAAGCAAAATTGGCCAAATGGAAAAGGAAGTCCAAAAGATTACTGAGGAAAACACTTCTTTAAAAATTAGAATAGTGCAATTGAAAGCTAGTGACTTTATGAGAAATCAAGACACTGGAAAACAAATCCAAAAGAATGAAAAACTAGAAAACAATGTGAAATATCTCATTGGAAAAACAACTGACCTGGAAAATAGATCCAGGAGAGAGAATTTAAAAATTATTGGACTATCTGAAAGCCATGATCAAAAAAAAGAGCCTAGACATCATCTTTCAAGAAATTATCAAGGAAAACTGGCCTGATATTTTAGAACCAGAGGGCAAAATAGAAATTGAAAGAATCCATTGATCTCCTCCTGAAAGAGATCCCCAAAGGAAAACCCCTAGGAATATTGTAGCCAAATTTCAGAGTTCCCAGGTCAAGGAGAAAATATTACAAGCTGACGCGGCCGCTGCAGTGACAAGCATGAGACCAGCTCAATGCTCTGTAACCCCGATACGCATGGATGAGGCAGGAGACAGCAAGGTGGCAGAAGCTCCGTTTATTGAGTGCAGTTAGCTGACTTTTATGGCCCTAGTGATGCATGTTCAAAGCGTGATCCCCCTGTGATAACCAATCATCAGGTCTGCTGGAGCTCGTGTCAGGACTCATCTCCCAGTGAGAGGAGAGCCAAACCAACCGTGGGAGCTGCATTTCAGCAAAGGAGAGGTCCTGGGAGACTTCCTTATTTTTGCCACGCAACTATGTTGTGACCCTCACCTTCTACTGATAGAAGCTAGAACTCCCATGGGAAAGTTCCCTCAACAGAGCTCTCATGAGACCGTGAGACATTTACCCTAACAATTCCCCCTTTTTGTTTTAAAGAAGGCGTCGTTGTGGGTGAGTGTCTTTCAGCACTTGTAGCTGAGACATAACATTTTTGAACTTGGAGATCATTACTTTCAAGAGGCATACAGCTACAATAGGCAAGCAGCATAAAAGTAAGCATGCTACAACAATCAATATAATCCAATACTCAAATGACCCCCACCAATTGGAGGCATTATCAAACCAATGTATGATTTTCTCTGCTGTTTTGTCAGGATCCAAGTCCTGTTCAGAAGCCTTTTTTATTTCAGAGGCTAAGCTGTATAAAGTTTCAATGTCAGATTCTATTGTATTGTTTAAGAATAGACCATTCAAGTGGTTTCTGATTACTGTCCAGTTGTAAGTAGAATTGTCATGTGTAAGTGTCATGCCATGATTGAACAACAGTCCCATTAAAGTTCATGCAGTGGCGGTGTGCCGCTACACAAGTCTCCACACGAGGCCAGCCAGAACCAGAGTCACTGTTCACCTTACATTTGTCCAGACCCCCCGCGCGCAGGGAGGTGGCATTAGAGCAGGGCGTCCCCTGTCCGCCGAGTAGGTGAATGTGGTGTGGCCCCATGCCGGGAATGTTCATGGCAAGGGTGACGTTCTGCAGTTGTATGCAGCCCTCCACGTTGTTGGTGCAGGACCAACAAAGCGGCTGCCGCATGGACAGTCCTGTGAAGTTGTATTTTACTGACGATGAAGTCACATTAGTTTGTGTGGGGAGGTCAAACTCATTCCTCACCATTTGTGATGCAGTCCCCTGGAATACAAGGTTAGGTAACTGTTCACCCCAAGCTACTACTCGAGGCCATGGGGGGTCCATGTAGATCGCCCACCAGTGTAAGATCTGATTCCCTGCCACAGGTGTTGACAGGCTTACCAGGAGAAGCAACTTCATACAGGTCTGCATTGTCCTTCGTCTCCTTTTCCTCTTCCTGGGGTGTCTCCCGAGTAGGGACAATCTTGAGAGTTTTCGTTGGCACCCACTTAGCTCCTTCACCTGTTGAGATACAGGTCCTACCCAGTCATTATTGGGATTTTTCCACAGGACCAATTTCTTTTTATCTGTGTATATTGTTGGGCCATCATGAGTCAAGGTAAGTGAATTGTGAGGTAAAAAGAATTTCATAGCAGGGGTAAGGTCATTACCATCAAATTTCAAATAATTTATAGTATACAAGATTTTATTAATCTGTCTTTGAGGGGATATCCGCTCAGCTCCCCCTTTTTGTTTTTGAAAGAAAGTTTTGATGGTTTGATTCATGCGTTCAACAACGGCTTGACCAGTTGGGTTATAAGGAATACCACATATGTGCTGTATGCCAAACTCTAGAAAAAAGGCTTGTAATTGTTTGGCAGTATAAGCTGGCCCATTATCAGTTTTTATCGCACATGGTGGGCCAATTATAGCAAAAGCATGATAAAGGTGATTAATAACATGTCTAACAGCTTCTCCTGTTTGAGGAGTAGCTATACAAAATCCTGAAAATGTATCCACAGTAACATGGAGGAATTCATGTTTCCCCAATGGTGGAATATGTGTAACATCCATTTGCCATAGAGAATTAGGAAAAAGTCCTCTAGGATTGATACCAGAGCGAAGTGATGGTGAATTGAAAGGGGCACATTGAGTGCACCTTTTCACTATATCTCTGGCTTGTTCTCTACTTATGCCATAAAGGCGACATAGAGACTTGGCTGACATATGATACTTACCATGTCCTTGTTGTGCTTCTTGACAATTGCCTATAAGCATAGAATCCACAATATTATTCCCTGAAAATATGGGACCTAATCCATCTGTATGGGATCTTATATGCATTACATACAGAGGATGTTGTCTTGATCTGATGCATGATTGACGTTCATAAAACAATTCTGTTATTGGTGAAGCTTCAGGTTCGATATATGCTGTTTCAATGTGAGAAAGCACACCAGCAGCATAATGACTGTCTGTAATAATGTTAATAGGTTGAGGTATTTTGCAAGCATGTAGAAGAGCATATAGCTCATTCTTTTGAGTGGAAGTGTATGGAGTCTGTATAACTGTATGAATGTCTAAGTCAGGACAATATATAGCAGCTTTCTTTTCTTTAGTAGCATCAGTATAGACATTATAGCCATCAACAGGTGTATTCCTGATAATCTTGGGAAATATCCATTGCCAGTTATTAAACCATTTTGCAAAGAAGTATTTTTGTCCTGCTTGAATATTACCTAGATTCAGTAACACAGTCCAATGTTCATCACAATATAAAAGGGTCTCAAGCCTTTCTTTTGTAACAGGGACCCACAAAGTGCCTTTCTGTCCACTAAGATGTAAAATGCGAAGAAGTGCCGTTTTAGCCAACATAGAGGCTTCTTCTAGATAACTAGTTAAGACTCTTTTATTACTGGTTTTGCTGTATAACCATTCTATAATGTTTTCTTCTTGGTGAAGTATAATGTGTGGATGTTGCTGAGCCATTATCAACGTGGCTTCAATCTCCTTCTGTGGAGATACCCGATGGGTGTGATTTCCTAACTTCCTAATGATTTGTTTTAAGCTTTGTGCAGCCTCAGGGGTCCATTTTCTAGGAGAATTTAAGAGAGGATCCCCTTTCAAGATAGAATATAAGGGTTGCATCTCCTCATTAGTAATGCCTATCTTTGGTCGTATCCATTGAATGTCTCCTATCAATCTTTGGAAATCATTTAAAGTTTGTACCTTGTCTTGCCTAAGCTCAGGTTGTAAAGAGACTTCCTCCAAGTCAAGCTGAAATCCCAGATATTGAAAGGGAGGTTGTTTTTGCATTTTCTCTGGTGCTATCTGAAGCTCTTTGTTTGTCAAAATAGATACTGTTTCTTGGAGCATCTGCTCAAGGACTTCTAAATTGGCATGACTACAAAGAATATCATCCATATAGTGCACTAAATAGGCTCCTTTATATTTGATTCTTAAAGGCTCTAGTAGGTCTGCAGGGAATACTGATTTATCAGCCCCAGTATCAATCAACCCTGTAAATTTCTGTTTTTCTACACTTATAGTACATAGGGGATGGTCCATAGAGACAGCTTGTGTAAAAAATGCTCCTGACCTCCAGCCTGTCTGTGGGCCTTTTATTATGGTAGGATCCTCTATGTGGAATTCTGCAGTGATGGCAATGGCTTGAGCCACGCACTGCCCCCTTTCAATATAGGTATCATCATTGTTAGTGTTAATCAAGGTGAGGTGAGGAAGGGAGCCTTTATACATTTGAATTACTGGAACTGCATGTGAGTAGTGCTGATCCGGGGGTGATATGGTAATTAAGGAAACTTCTGGCCCCAATTCCTGTTGGTCCATGAGTGGGACGTTACAGACAGCATGGGGTGGCAGTTTAAAATTATCTAAGCTTCTCAGTTTCAATACTCGAATTGTTTTTCTTGGGCAGCTAGAGTCATGTACTTCTTTCCCCATTCGTTTGTGAGAGGGTTTGATTCCTGTACTGTCATTCCCATGGGACAAGTACTCGGGGCTCCCGCAGAGCCCCTGTGCCCGTTTCCTGACTTGCATTCAGAAGCCCAATGCCCTAGCTTTTTACATTTCGGACAGGGCGAGGCAGGGCGTCTTTTGTTTGAGTTGCAGTCTTTCTTAAAGTGCCCTTCTCTCCCACATTGATAGCATGTTTTCCCTGTTTTTTTCCCTGACTTATGCTCTGCTAAAAATTGATTCATTAACTCAAAGTGAAAACACTGAGTCCCTACCTTTTCACATCTCCTTATCATTTCCTGTAAGGTCGCGTCCCTAGGCAAACCTAGCATGGCTTTCTTACAGTCTTCATTGCAGTTTTCTCTAAGTAGTGATTTTATGACTATTTCAGTCTCTTCTACTTCTCCCATTGTTCGTGCGACTAGTTCTTGAATTCTAGCCACGAAATCAACAAATGTCTCAGTAGGTTTCTGCTGGGCAGTGGTCATAGACTCCTTTGCCTGCCCCTTTTCTGGTATCCTAGACCAAGCTTTTCTAGCTTGTACTGCAATTCTATGATAGCCCTCCTCAGCATATCCTAGCTGTTGGGCAGTAGTAGCAAAATCTCCTGTGCCACTCATCTGTTCAAAGAGTGATTTTCCTTGGGGTCCAGGTGCCAATTGGTATGAAACCATATGGCACTGATCCATAAATTCAGCCACCCAAAAGACAGCAGCTCCAGGTGTCAGAACTGCAGGAGCTATTGCCTTCCAATCATTTGGACACAAAATAGAGTTAGAGATAACCTCTAATTGATACATTACAAAAGGTGAAGTAGGTCCATATTGGGCAACTGCTTGTTTTAGTTGCAGTAAGGTTTTAATATCCCATTCACTAACATCCTCACCCTTTTCTTTTGCTTCTCTAATGCCCTTTTGTAATGGTGATTCCTCACCGCTGGAAGTTGTTGTGTGCAGGCCAAGGTGGCCACGCCCACTTCCCAAAGTTTGTGGCTCAGCAAAGAATCGCTTATCTGCTCTTGCAGGGGGAGTTGTCGGTGGAAATTCCTCACTATTCTGCTCCCTCAATCCTCGTTTCTCGGGAGGGGTAACTGCCAAGTCTTTTAAAGTGTCTTCTAACTCCCCCAAGTTGGGATGCAAGTTTGAATAGTGTCCTGGGGGTGGCCAGGGAGGGAGGTCTGCGGGACCTTCTCTTAGTTTAGGAGAGCAAGGTCTGCTGGCAGAGGGAGAGGGGAGGGAGGAACCTGTCTGAGTACAGACTGGAAAATTCCGGGCTTCTGTTTGCTTTTGATTCGTCAGAGCTTGTTTTACAAGATTGTAAATGGTATAGTCTAAGAGCCTAACTTTTCCAGGGCAAGTACCATCATACGAGGTTAGCTGCTCCCCAAAAATCTTCCATCTCCCTGGCTCAAAGCAACCCTGTTCTGGGAGCCAGGGGGATACCTGAAAAGCCAACCTCACAAATTTTCTAAGATCTTTTAAGCGTATCGTTATTCCCTCATTCTTTGCTCCCTTATATAAAGCTCTGGTGTAATTCTCCTCATCTGTGGGGAAGGAGAAGCCCTATATTTTGCCCCATTATGTAAAGCGAAACCTTTACCTTCTCCGCCCCCCAAGGACGGGAAACGTCTCGGAGACCCGATTCCGTCAGGCTGAAAGCTCGAAGCCTGCTGACGCGCTATTCATGGAGTTTTTAGACTCCGCTCGTGGGGTATGTGTCAGGCCTGTCATCCAATCTGCCCCATGTTGGGCACCAGTTGACGCGGCCGCTGCAGTGATGAGCATGAGACCAGCTCAATGATCTGTAACCCCGAGACGCATGGATGAGGCAGGAGACAGCAAGGTGGCAGAAGCTCCGTTTA